CTAATGTACGACTTCCATTACAACACGATCAAGAAGAAGTACGGTGACAAGTCGAAGCTCCTGTTCACAGACACTGACAGTCTAATGTATGAGATTAAGACTGATGACGTGTATGAGGACTTCAAGAGGATCGGTGAGAAGGAAGACTGTTGGGACAACTCAGATTATCCGAAAGATTCTCCGTATTACTCAGCTCATAATAAGAAGGTAATTGGAAAGTTTAAGGATGAAGCTGAGGGAGTGCCGGTGATTGAATTCGTGGGGTAAGTCGAAGATGTACTCTTACGTGAAGGAGAGTGGTGGAGGTGGAATGACAGCTAAAGGTGTGAAAAAGTACGTGATCAGAAACAAACTCACTCACGAAAACTTTAAGAACGTGATTAAGACCAAAGGTAGGATAAGACATAAGATGAACACAATCCGAAGCATCAAGCATAAGATTGGAACCTACCAGCTAAAGAAAATTACACTCAGCTGTTTCGATGACAAAAGATACCTACTTGAAGATGGTGTTACAAGTTACGCGTACGGACACCACTCAATAGGAGATCTAAAGGCTGAGGTGGTGATTGAAGAAAAAGTGGAACCGAGCTGTGTACTAGAAAGGGTTGAAACTCAGAGTGAATACTGTAGACTCGAGGAAGCAGTAGAAATCTACGAATGCCCTCCCTGGGAAGACTTGGGACAAAAGGAAGAGAAACATATTCCAAGACCAGAATACAAAGTAGTGATTCCACGAAGGAGATCCAAGTTCAGGAAACTACTACCATTGAGGGTACTCGTAACTGATGAGAATCATCTAAGGAAAAACTACGACATATTACCGGAAAGTGAAAAGGAATACCTGGGCCCGGTGATGCAAGAGAAATGGAGATCATTAGGTGTTAACACATGCGTAACCTCTGGAAGTAATAGAAAAACTGTAATTGGATACTGAGTCAGATGTTAAATAGAGAATTTAATAGGAATAAAATAAATGATCTAAAAAGTGGTCTAGAAAAATGATGGTAAAAAAAGACCAGATAAAATGGTCTAGAAAAATGAGGTAAAAAAGACCAAGAAAAAATGGTCTAGAAAAATATATGAGCCCGCGTTTTTCGGGGGAAAATATGGAAACCGCTGACCGGAAGTTGGGTGAGATCGCGGGCCGAAAAAGTGGTCTAGAACCCTCATTCCCTATACTACTATAGTATACAGTAATGTGCATATTTGTATAGCCCCAGTGAGTTACAGTACTGTCAAGAAATAACTTATCAAAATTGACTGGTGCATTATATAAACACTAGTCACTAGACATGCAAATTATTGTTTACGTCCGCGGATCTGTAGAATTCATGTGGGTATTAAATTGGGAAATTCGAAATATATAATATATAATAGCTTCGGGTTTCAGAAACTTATACGATACTTCGCGTATTAAAATATGCGCATGGTAAAGTACAGTTTTGACTAGTTTTATACGGTGGTCGGTTGCTAAGCATTTTGCTCCCGCTAAGGTTTCAATTACGTAATTACAACTTAGTGTCATTCGGTGCCATTTTCAAGCGAAGTATGCTACGCGATTTTGCGCGTCCTATATTTTCGCTTTTTTATCTAATCGACGAAGTTAAGGTAGAAATAAGAAGATTTATTATTTATTGAAAGTAATTCAAGAGTTTTGATTGATTAAGAGCTGTGGATGAAATCGTCATATCCGTTCGGTAGTTGTCCAAATTTTGAGTTATGACATCACCATTGAATATTGAAAACACATATAAGACATTATGACGTAATTTGGTCGTATATTGAAAACACATATACGACATTATGACGTCACACTAATTTATGCTGCTTATATGCCAAAAGCGGGAAAATACAAATGGCTTCCTCAAAGGAAAGGTTCGCCGACCTTGGGGAAGCTGAAATAAAAAAATTGCTGGAAGAAAAAGACTCAGCAAACACAAAAAAAGCTACAAAAGCAAGCAAAGCGATTTTTGAAGAGTATCTACGAGAAAAGAAGCTTGGCCATCCAGAGAATAGCGAAGAACTTGCTTCGGTTCTCAAAAGCTTTTATGCTGATCGAAGTGACGAAAAAAAGATGAGTCAGAATACACAAAAAATTCGCTGTATAATTTTTACAACTGTCAAATTCACTTTCACAAGTAAAATGTTTATAAATGTTAAAGGTAATATTTAAATTCGTGTTAGAACAGTTGAAGAACACTTGTTTTCTCGATCATTTGAGTTTTTATACAAATATTCCGTATATTTTCTCGATAATTTGTATTTTTATATAAATATTCTGTATATTTTCTCGATAATTTGTATTTTTATATAAATATTCTGTATATTTTCTCGATAATTTGTATTTTTATTTAAATATTCTGTATACTTGAAGTGTAAATGGGGTCAGTAAAATCTGTAGCATTCTTTCAAACGCTTAGTTGAAATAAATTTGTTTGAATTAATTTGTTTGATTTTGTAATATGACAACAGTTTTAAAAATATTCTTTCCTAGTCTGATTGGCTTATTCAGTCTTGCGAAGAATATATTATTGTTCCATTTTCAGTAGCTTGCGTGTTCTTGTTTACAATGCAAGCGTTTATCCTAAGTCCGATATATACACAAATAAATAATAAAACAATTACTGAATTTGGTTCTCGTAGGATATGAGGAATTATTAAGGCCTCGGTTTGTGTTATCTGCATCAGCCTTCGGCTTCGGCAGGTAACACAAACATCTGCCTTAATAATTCCTCATATCCTACTCGACCCCATTCAATAATTGTTTAATATATGTCATCTTGACCATAAAATTCCTTACAGCCTAACAGCATTTATCTGCATAGAGAAATATGGCTCCAGATTGGCATAACTTTTGATGTACTTTGTGGTTTACACGGTCACGTGGAAGGCCTAAACTGACCTTCTAACGGTCCCTAAGTAAGACAATGTATATATAAAAAATTCCCCCTTGACAACCCCCTAATTTTAACAGCGCAAGAGAAATCGGCCAATAAGTTACAAATTTGTCAATTTTCACAATTTATTGGATTGTTAGAATGCACTAGATCGAAATTCTCAACGGGAAAATTAGATTTACCAATTATTGACTTACATGAATGGCTAGTTGTTCAAAAGTAAAGCAAGACAGTGCTTTGTAAACCGCATGTAATTTTCATACGTTGCCTTGATTTTTTGCACCATAATTGCTGCCTCGTCCCCAGTCTCTTTATTAAATTCGCGGGGAGGGGGATAAAGGGAGACATTGGAGGATAGAGTTTTAATTGAGGGGCGAAGGGAATGATTTTTTCGTCTTCCCAGCATGCATCACAACAGATTTGTTTAGCCACTGATCTATATATTAAACTGATATGTCTATATATACACTGATCTATAAATAGTAAGAGCCTGCGGAGGAGGCAGCCATAATTGTTTACTTCGCCTCCTGCTGCGTGTCTTGAGTTAGCTGGTTTCTTTACTTCGATAAAAGCTTATCGGCTGTTATCGCACGCCTTACACAAGTATTATTTACATTAATATAACTACAGAAGACTGAGGTATAGTTTACAAAAGAAATCAGTTGCACATGCCTTTACTTAAGCTCCGATGAGGCACCGCTTTCTCGCTAAAGACAACATGCCTTGGTAATCTGAGAGTGGCAGATGTACTATGATCGGGCAGATCCTTACGGGAAACCATCATGAAAATCGCTTGGAATTGTAACTAAACGATAAAATTAAGTGTGCGCAAAGACACGAAATCTATAAAAAGGTATAGTTTACAAATGTTCACAGGACAGGGTGTCGAGAAAAATAACGACGTTGCTCGCTCTATAGTTCTACGGAAGTCAAATAAGTGGGATTCAACAGGAGACGTGCTTCGTTTTGAATCAAGACAGTGGCTCTTAAAAAACAGAGAGCGAGAACCGCGAGAATACAATAAAAGAAATTTAGAGTACTGGAATAATGAGATAAAGAAAAAACATTGTGGACCTGCTCAACAATGCAGGGCACAGCCTCAGGATATAGGAGAAAACACTTGCAACCCCTCAACAAGTGGCCCCATACAAACCCCTCCTCTCAACATTGCAAAGATGACCGTTCCTCAGCTAAAGCACCAACTGAAACAGAAGGGGATAAAAGGGATTTCAAAAAAGTCAAAACAAGAGTTAGTTGACATGTTAACATCTATAATTTAACATTGTTTGATAACACTATGATCAGCTGGTAAATCAAATTATTTCTCATTTGAGTTCTTTTATCTCTAGTGTTAGGATATTTAATAAGATCATTAAAACTCTTGAAAGTTAAATTATGTGCTATTGTCCAGAGTACAGGGTTTTGCATTGACTTTATACTTGAGCTACTTTTCTCCAGTCATGGCAGAAAATGGCTTACAGCTTACTTGATCCTAATTTAAAACAACACACTGCATGTATTCATTTGCTCATTATTTTTAACTAGCCACAAATACTTGCTTTAAGCCTATTTTTACAATGAGAGAAAAAGTGAATATATCCTTAGCCACCTGAGTGATGTTTTCAGGGGCATGGTCCATCACATAAGTAAACGCTTAGTACAAAAACAATAAATGTAACTATTTATACAAATAATTGCATTTTCTTATAGACCAGTTTTACAATCATTCATTTGGGAAATCATCGGCAGGCTAAAACACCATGTTTGTTTTGGAGGGACCACCAAAGATCGCTCACATTGATGTGTGTGCATGATTGCAAAACTGGTTTATATTTTAGATTTTTTAACTTTAACCCATTAAGCGTCAGCACTCTCCCCTTGACGAGTAACATCGTTTGGTATTAGACAGAATAAAATAAGTAGGGACATCAGGGCGTAATGTGCATTAATGGGTTAAAGTTACATTCAAAATATACAGCTAGGGAAACTATGTTGAAAGAACCGAAAATGGTTGCCGTATAAAATCAACTAACAGTTTCTCTTGAGGCATTCTTGGCGCAGGCGTTAGAATGCGATTCTGTATCACCGAGACTTTGGGTGACCAGGATAAAAGGGAACGGATCTTGATCGGGTATTTTATGATAACTCCATCACCATTCGTATCCAGACAATGATCCCATCCAGTAAAATAATTGAAGTCCCCAAAATCATGCCTATCCAAGAACACTGATTTGCCATCTTGGGAAAGCCTTCCTTTGCCGTAAAAACAGTGTCGATAGCAGTCATGGTGGAAAGAAACGCTAGATGGTGGTCTAGCTTTGCTCTTCAGTTTTACCACAATTGCCTGCAGCAATGTATCCAGATTTGCATGTAGTCTTTCGGTGTTAACAGGGGGTCTGTCATATGTCCTGAACAAATTAAAAATGGTTTAATTAAAGTTCAATTTTAATTCTATAGCTTTTTGTGAAATGATTTAAATATTGCTTAAGATTAATGTCAGCGAACTTTTCCCCTTCTTTAAATTTTGCTAACTATTCACACAAATATTGTCAACTGAGTAATTGCCCTGATTTTAAAACAGGCCAAGCAAAACGTCACATATTATTTTTGCTTTTTTGTGTCCCTGGTTGTGGATATCACTTTTTGTGAACTGTTAACCAAGTAAAAAGCATCGCACCAACATGAAATTTTGAGCTAATGAGCAATGACAATATTTATCAGGGAATAAATGCCCAAACACGAGATATCACAGACTATAAAAATTGCATATGATATTGATAAATGGGCAAGATCACCATTTTATACCTGATGAGGTCTGGAGTAAGATCTTCCTCGTCTTCCCAAGAACAATTAAACAGACTGTAATTTTTCCATTTTATTAAATATTTGTTCTGTAAAATAAAAGGAAGACAAATATATTCACCCACTGCATGTTAATATCATGTAAATTTGTGACCTAAAATTATAAAAATACTAATATTTGTCTTTACCGTTCTGTTTATGACACGTCGTGAGATAATCCTCTCAACTTCATAAAAAATGTCTTCTGGAGGTTTTCTTCTTTTCTCTGTCTTTGTTTTGTAAAGTATGTCTGTTGTTAAGTTGTGTAATTGTTTATAATAACCTGTACGTGGACGATCCCGGGGAGATAATCTTTCCGCCATATTGGATTCCGCGCCTGCGGTACATGCCGCTATCATTTTCGTGCCTGCGGTGCATTCCGCTGACTGTACGAAATTGTTCGCCATGTGTAAGCTTGATCCGCCTTAGGAGTAAATTTCTGTATAAGTTTGTTGGCCAATGTTTTAGGATCGAATCCGTTCCAATACATAAATTTCCGAATTTTCCTCATTTCGTCCGAAATTAAACTTTCGTTACTACAAATTTTGTAAGCTCTATGCACAAGTGACCTAATCCACGCAATTTTGTACGACCACGGAGTGAAACTAGATAACTGGATATACTGGCCTGTGTGTGTGCTCTTACGAAAACTCGACGTGCCGTTAGATGTTAATTTGATATCAAAAAATTTTACCTCGTCGTTATCGACGAACTCTTCATGCGTGCACTGTATATCCGGATGGTAGCTGTTAAGTTTAATTATTTAAAATCACGTTAATATCAGATGGTTTGGCCAAAACTGATGTGTCATCAACATATCTTAGTATCGTTTTCGAAAAGGTCTTTCATTATTTCGTCTTCTAATGCGATCATGATGATGTTGGCTAAAGTCGGACTTAAAGGCGAAACCACGCTCAAGAAAGAAACCCACACTCAAGAAACGACCACATTCAAGAAACGAACACTCAAACAACTGCTCCTTGATGCTTGCACTAAAACTCAATTTTTCGCAATCGGGGATCTTTATAAGCGAATTGACGGAGTTTCGATGGGTTCGCCTATTAGTCCGACTTTAGCCAACATCATCATGATCGCATTAGAAGACGAAATAATAAAATATCTTTTCGAAAACGATACTATAAAATTCTATATAAGATATGTTGATGACACATTAGTTTTGGCCAAACCATCTGATATTAACTTGATTTTAAATAAGCTTAACAGCTACCATCCGGATATACAGTTCGCGCATGAAGAGTTCGTCCATAACAACGAGGTAAATTTTTTGGATATCAAATTAACATCTAAAGGCACTTCGATTTTTCGTAAGAGCACAGACACAGGCCAGTATATCCATTTATCTAGTTTCACTCCGTGGTCGTACAAAATTGCGTGGATTAGGTCACTTGTGCATAGAGCTTACAAAATTTGTAGTAACGAAAGTTTAATTTCGGACGAAATGAGGAAAATTCGGAAATTTATGTCTTGGAACGGATTTCCTAAAACATTGGCCAATAAACTCATACAGAAATTTACTCCCAAGGCGGATCAAGCTTACATGAGTTCTAACATTAACAACCACATCGAAGACCAAACAGAGCAAGTTTGTAAAGTTTATGTTCAACTTCCATATATAGGTAAACGCGGAACTGACCTTAAACTAAAAATTTCACGAATACTAAAACAACCGTGTAAGTTCATTGTTTATTGGGATACCACCACAACAGGCTGCTTTGTTTCGTGCAAAGATAAAACACCTATGGAGTTTCAAAGTTTGGTGGTTTATAAATTTTCATGTCCTGGGTGCGGCAAAACATACATAGGAAAGACAGACAGATGCCTCTACACACGACTGAACGAACATGCAATCACAGACAAGAACTCAGAGATTTATAAACACATTAACACTTGCGAACAATTCAACTATCTCACAAATCTATTACAACTGAACATAGACGAACCCAACACTGACCAATCTAACCTAACAGCCTTCCTACTGAACAACTGCAACATCATAGACAGGGCTAAGCACTGTTCAAATCTGTTGTTCAAAGAAGCACTCGCCATTCATCGACAAAAACCGGAACGGGATCATGGGACTAAAGCATCCAGAGAACTATCGGTTTTCTTTTAATTATATATCAAATTACGTGGAGTATATATAACGCACGCACTTGTAATATAACCATTCCTGATGATGACAAAATAAAGTCGAAACGTTGAATCAAAATGCTTACTTTATTCGGAGTTACCGTTGTATTGTAAATCCTAATCACTATAATCATCGACCTTTTATCATTAACATCCAACTGTGCTGCACGAGAGACAAGCAGCCGATCCAACAGAAATTTTAAAATGCTTATTAAAACTCGTCAAATAATGCTATGACACTGTCTGTGCTAGAATTTGTGCGTATAAAGGTCATTATTATTATTGAAAAAAAATTGTCCGTATATAGAGTTTATTATTCATGTACATATATATCCCTCATAAAATGTAGAAGCACTTTATAGGATATACTAGAAAATAGATGCATGCAGAAATCCTCGACTTGCTGACCAAACCATTATGTTTTCCAAACATGAAGTATTGTCATGGTAACACGATAATTTTAAGAATAGTTTAAAATTGAAAAATCCCCAAAAAATATCACTTTTAATTACAAAACGATCAATTTATCAAACATATACTGTATATGCTAGGTATGTTATTATTCCGGCGTAATATAAGCTTCAATTTAATCGCTATAATTCAACCACAAAGGCTTCGCAAAACGTTTTAAAATGTTCTTATAACTAAACTGCCTTTTATCGGTAAACATTGAGTTTGAAAATTGAAATAAACTGATTTCAAATTATTGCATGAAAATAATTTGCTGTCCTCTTTATTTAAACATTTTAATATACAAAAAAGGGTGATATTAATACAAATACACTGAAATAATGGGAAATTATTTTCACTTTAATATACGAAACGGATTTTAAAGCAATTATAAAGCCAACAAAACGGCAATACTAAAAACAAACTTACCTTCATTAACGGGGAATTGGTGAGACTCTTTTAGACGATTTTCGGCTTTCGAAAAAGTTTTGAAATTTGCAAAATCTTGCAAAAATAAAATATAGTTGCAAGAAATGTTTGTTATTTTGTGGTCGTCATTTGTCATACAGCACAAAATTTTAAATTTGACCGATCAGTCTTCGCTATTAATAACAATTCGCCACATATTTTGAGATCTGTGACGATGACCACCGACCGTTGGTCACCCACGCCCGCGATCGTTGATAAACTATAAACTTCGCTAATTCTTTCGTTTCCCCGGGTGTAAATAGCCGGGTAGAATTAGTACCCTCGCCTCGGGCTTACGCCCGGAAAGGCGCTCCGCGCTGTTGGCTAGGGGAAAATGGAACAATACATTGCTAAACCTCATCTGCTATCATTCCTTTGCATTCACGGAGCAAGGTATAAAAGGCGGGGGTAAATGGCTATAAAATTATATAGAAAGTGCTGTGTAATATTAGAGAGGGAGAAAAATATATGAGATGACGTCATGCATGCATATTAATGACACCACCCTGCGCACCCTCGTTTCATGCTAAGATGATGCGCTAGCTGTCAACAATGCTAATGACACTATCTAATAAATTTTTAGCAGAGAACGAACAGCGGGTTCTTCTGTTACAGTATAATTCATTGTTGCCACATTCACTTCATAACAAGCTGTCTCACGATCGAGGCAAGTAATGAGTGTGCAAAATCTTCGCTGAAATTCATTGCTGCAGCTAGTGGATCCATTCTGGTTGTAATTTCTCGTAAATGTTGCAGGGGCTTTTATTCTGAACTCTTTTACTGAATCTATTCACATATTTTTATTGCGCTGCCCTTGGAAATTTGACATTGTCTTACATTCGCTGTGTGAGTGTGTGAGTTGTTGGGAATCATTAGTATATTAGAAAATTAGTATATCTTCGCGCTTCTAGAGCACTTTCTTTCCGCCCGAAGCAAGGAAACGCACTGTTATACTATGTCTGGAATGACATATATGTGCGTTTTATTACCTCAACAATTTGATACAGCAGCCTGTTTCATCCAAGAGCAATCATCCAATTAGACGATTTAGGGCTTGTTTGGAAAAGAGTTGGTTGCCGTAAACTATATTTAGTATTGGCCCCAACAGGCTTTTGCGCTGTATTATCGTATTGGCCGTTTATTGAAACAGAATAACAACATTTTTATTCTGGTTTGAGATTTTTTAGCTAAATTTATTTACATTTTCAAAATATTTAATTATACCTTTCTTGTACGACTTTTCAATCCGCTTTGCCGCGACAACTGGACAAATACCGTATATATTTAGTACTCGTTTGAGCGCCGTGGCGCTCTTTAAATTTTCAGAGCTTAAGATGCTACGCTCATTCTGGGGCGGCACTCAATCGGGAGAGGCACTCTTTAAAAAATGTTATTTGGCAATTATAAGAAGAACCTTCACCAAAACAATAAGCAAGTTTAAAAAGGTTTTTGTCACTAAATGTCGTCATTTTGAAGGGGAAAAGTTTTTACACTGTTTGATGCGACGCCGCTTTTGAAAAATACTGATCTCAAATGCGGCGTCCATTCAGGGCGGCGCTCAATCTAGTAAATATGGTAAACAAACAGTTACGTGATGAAAACGCAAGATTTTCAAGGAATAGCGAAATTCCAAGCAAAGCCAGCCAGTGCGGTTCTCATGCGCCCCACTCCCGGCCCTTAAATAGGCTAACTCATTGCATTTAGTCGAACCCTTACAATTATGTATGTGAAAGGTGTGGAAGATATTATTTTAAAACATTTTTTGCGTGTTGAAGAGTTGATGCAATTAATTTTTAATTAGATAGTTAATAAAGAATAGGAATATTTTTGTTCATTTGCGTGTCCAATTTGCATTACAATACGCGAGGGCAATTAATATACACATAATATGCTAATGCTAAATTATTTATATTATATTTGTTGCAAAGACTATCCAAATTTCCAAATCGATAAACAGGCATATTTCTTTGTAATTTGCCATTATGTGTCCAATGACAATTTTTGCAAAGTGCGCGATATTTAACAATGAGTCGCCAAAAGCGAGCTTAATCATCACTTCCGGTGAAAGAGCGAACTGTGATTGGCCGAGAATGACTTTCAGCGGTCCGTTATTTTCCCCGCAATGGACCGGCGGTCCATTACATAAAAACAGCCACATGCATGCATTTCAAAATAAAATAGCAAATCTGATTGAAATTGTAATTTAATTTGTTATTGATAAGATATATCATCTGTTTCTGAAAACTACTTCCAT